GGACACACTCAGGGTGCAGTCTCAATGAGCACCAAAGCCCCACTGAAGCAAGTCTTGCCCCAGAAGGGTGTCTCCAGCACAGAAGTTCTCCCACTGCAGACACAGCTGATTCTCACTGCCAATTGGCCGGAAGGTCAATTCCTCCCAGTGATCCTACAACAACCAAGGCATAGCTACAACAAGACTGTGCACAAAGCCCACAAGGGGGTGCACCAAGAGTGTCCACCTCAGGTAACTGGGGAGGCTGAGCCACTGGGCCCTAGAGGACACCTAGCACACAAAGCCACTCTATCAACACAGGGAAGCAGCCAAAATGCGGAGACAAAGAAACAGGTCACAAATGGCAGAAATGGAGGAAAGCAAACGACTGGATATAGAGTTCAAGGCCACGTTTATAAGGTTTTTCAAGAATTTTATGGAAACTGCCGATAAATTTAATGAGTCCCTCAATAAGTATAGTGAGACCATGGAGGACATGAAAAAGGACCAACTAGAAATTAAGCATACACTGACTGAAATAAAGAATAATTTACAGAGATCCAACAGCAGACAAGAGGATCCCAAGAATCAAGTCAAAGATTTGAAATACAAAGAAACAAAAAAAAATACCCAACCGAAAAAGAAAAAAGAGATTCCAAAAATATGAAGATAGTGTAAGGAGCCTCTGGGACAACTTCAAGCATACCAACATCAGAATTATAGGGGTACCAGAAGAAGAGAGAGGGCAAGATATTGAAAACCTATTTGAAGAAATAATGACAGAAAACTTCCCCTACCTGGTGAAAGAAATAGACTTACAAGTCCAGGAAGCGCAGAGAACCCCAAACAAAAGGAATCCAAAGAGGACCACACCAAGACACATCGTAATTAAAATGCCAAGAGCACAAGACAAAGAGAGAATCTTAAAAGCAGCAAGAGAAAGACAGTCAGTTACCTACAAGGGAGTACCCATACGACTGTCAGCTGATTTCTCAACAGAAACCATGCAGGCCAGAAGAGAGTGGCAAGAAATATTCAAAGTGATGAATAGCAAGAACCTGCAACCAAGATTACTTTATCCAGCAAAGCTATCATTCAGAATAGAAGGTCAGATAAAGAGCTTCACGGATAAGAAAAAGCTAAAGGAGTTCATCACCACCAAACCAGCATTATATGAAATGCTGAAAGGTATTCTTTAAGAAGAGGAAGAAGAAAAAGGAACTCTTACCATTTGCCACAGCATGGATGGAACTGGAGCGCGGATACATACCACATGAACTCACTCATTTGTGGAATATAAGGAACAACATAAACTGATGAACAAGGACTGATCCAGAGACGGAGAGGCATTGATTGGACTGTCGGGCTTTGGAGGGAGGGTAGGGGAGGGTGGGGGTAAGGGGGAAAGATCAACCAAAGGACTTACATGCAGGCATATAGGCCTAACCAATGGACACGGACAACGGGGGGGGGGGGAGAGGGTAACGTGGGGACAAGGACACATATGTAATATCTTAATCAATAAAAAATATATTAAAAAAAGAAGTTAGATATTTATGAAGAACTAGGAGAAGCATTGATATTTGGATAACTCTAATGAAAATTGACTTCATATAACATATGCATTATAGCACATAATATGTAAACAACAAATATGTCTTGTGTCTTTTAGTTCTACATTTATATTATACCCCAAATTAATAACAGAAAAAATACTTTAAGCAAAGAATCTTTACTACAGATAAAGAGGCATAATTTATAATGATACCAGAGTCAATCCATCCAATCCAGATATTCTAATATAGCTTCAAATTATCAACATCTAAATCAATAAAATGACTAGAATTTATTTCAATGAATATTAAGTGCCTTTTGAACATTTGGCTTGCTTCAGATGGTTGGGAATTTGGGGATATATACATTATAAAATATGGTCTCGAAGCTTAATTATATAATAATTCTGTTCCTAGACTTTAGCTTTGCTCTAGTAAACTAAAGTAGTTTAGAAACAACAATAATAAACATTCTATTTTTATGAATTTAACTTAGTACAACAAAATTGTCTTTTCTTATATTGGGCAACATATGGTAAAGTTCTCCATATATCTAACTTGATAATATATGAATCACTTCATGATTCAGAGAATATACCATAAACAAGGTTAAAACATACTAAATTCTTCAATATGACTTTGGAAATGTCATAACATAACTTCTTTGGGTTTCAATTGCATTATGTCTAACATGAAGGTAATTATGAAAGCACCCTACTTAATAGAATAAAGATACTTGGTCCAGAGAACAATTCCTGCTCAACACTACTAGAATATCTCTGTCAATTTATAATTAGAACTATTTATAATTTATTGTTTATTATTTAAGATGCTTATTTACAACCAATATGAGCTAGCTAATTATTTGATTTCTATTTGATAAACCTATAGGTTAACATTCTTATGATTTCTTAAAATTAAAAATCACCTGTATTGCTTCTTTAATTGATTGCTTTAAGGAAAATCTGATTTGAATTTTCCAAACCCAACTTATACTCATTTTATCGTTTCCTCCTAGATTTTTAACCTCTTAATAAACTTTTACTATGCTGCTAGTCTTCTATCAACATCCATTAAAAGTGTAAATTGGTAGTAATAATTTTTCCAGAGTTTCTATCTTTCATTTGGAGAGAAATTGTATTTTGTAATTTCAAATGTCTAATCCTTCAATTGAGTATTACCACTCTATTCTTATTTGGTATTGGAATTTCTTTAGTCTATGGTAAATTTCCCAGTAATGTTTTTAAACAGCCTAAAAGTAAGCCAAAGATAAATTGTCCCTTCCTTCTGAGAGCTTTCACCAAAATCAAATATAATATAAATTAAATGTATATTATATACAAGGTACTTTTACATGTGTTATCTTATTTAATCTCATAATAATTTACATTTTTCAGAAAAACATTGCAATTTCAGGAAGATTAAACGATGTGTCAAAGGTTATACATATAATAAGAAATGCCAGGCATTGATCCTAGGTATATCTGTTTACGAAGCCAAGATCATTCCACTACGAGGGGTTGGCAAACTCAGTTTAAAGATCCAAATAGTTGCCCTGGCCAGTGTGGGCTCAGTTGGTTGTAGCATTGTGCAGTATATCAAAAGGTCATGGGTTGATTCCAGATTAGGGCACATACCAGGTTGTGAGTTTAATCCTGGTCATGGTGCATACAGGAAGCAATTGATCAATGTTTCTCACTCTCTCCATCCCTACCTACCATCCTCTGTCTTTCTCTCCCTTCTCCCTCCCTTTCTCTCTAAAATCAATAAAATGAACATTTTTTGAAAAAAAAATAGGTAGAAGGTCGAATTTAACCCAAGGCCCATAGTTTGCCAATTCTCCAATATAATACAATGCATTCCCTCCTAGAGAATTTCTATTAGCTTTTCATTAACAGCAATAAATTTTCTCTCTCACTGTTAAAAAAAATTATGACCTTAATCTTACTGGGCAATTTTATTTTAATGCTTTCCTTATTAGGCTCAATTATTTGAAACAGGTTACTCTTGGGAAGCTATGTAGAACCTTTTACAAAGTCTAAATACAGTACCAATCATATCAGAAATTATTCTACAAATAAGATGAAATATTCCTAAAACTATATATAGTACTGGCATACACAAAATACTTAGTGTGAAAATATCAATATTTAAAGTTCCCATGCTGAACTTTTTTCAGTTACTCGTATATAATTTCAGTTGCTCAATTATCTCTATTTAATAAGCATAATCACAGCCCAGAAACAGTAACAAATGTCCTTTTAATTACATAAAATGTGTACAAGAAATATAAATATATATAAATATATAGAAGTTAAAGATCTTCTCTCCCTTATTCCAAAATTTAATTATGTGTACCACCACTGAACTTGTTATTTTTAATATAAGAGATTTAAATAATATAAATGAGAAAAATTTCCTATCAAGATTTTTCTATCTTCCTCTCTCCTCCCCTTTCTTCCTCACATGCACATTTGCACACCTGTGCATTCTCTCTCTCTCTCTCTCTCCCTCCCTCTCTCTCTCTCTCTTCCTCTCTCTTTCTCTCTCTCTCTCTCAGACACACACACACACACACACACACACACACACACACACGATTATTTTAAAAACACAATCAAAGTCTAAGTGACATACAATATGAGGCTCAAAAACCAGCTCTATAAGAAAGCACACAAGATACAGAAAACACAAAATCAGGTTCAATCCCAGCTCTCCAACTAAAACCAGTTGAATAATCACTTCTTAGCTTTGTGCCTTTAACAACTACTAATTAAAAGTCTGTTAGTCTACCTCCTCATCTATGAAAGTGGGCAAAAATTGTACTCACCTCAGGTGGTGGTTATGAGTATTAGAGTGAGAACTAAAATGACAAGCCATAGCATAGTGTTGATATATATAGTCAAGGGCTTAAAACTCCTAGTTGCAGCTAATACCAATACCATCACCTCTGACACTATTTTGGGCAAGGATTATTAACAACTGTTGTATTTCCTCTACAAAGCAAGAAAAGTACTGTCTTTCCTCAAATGATATATACAACAACTTTTTGAAGCATCCTACAAATTCTTATAATTATTACATTATATATTGTTCAAAGTTCGGGGGAAAAGTTTTTTCTCAATAATTTAAAGTTCCTTTGAAAAACTTTAAAATATTAAGGTCTATTTTTATTCCTGAAAAGAAACAAGTGTTTCTCATTATAAACCAAAACATATACTGTATATCAAAATATCTATTATATTGCTTTTTAAAGAAAGTCATTTGACACTAATAATCATAAATGGATCTGGTTAAAAGGTAATGTCTGATTAGGGTCTACTTTTTCAATCCCAATGTATCTTAAAATCCATTAATTTTGGGTTTATTTTTATTGCTTTTGTTTTCAATCTTCTGAACATAAAGGAAACATGTTAATAACTGTATGCTACAGCTGCTCTACCATTAGTGAATATAAACATTTCTTACCAAGTTACGCTTTTTTAATGGAAGAAAGTAATAATAGTGGCAGAAAGAAAACATCAGTGCATAGCAAGTAAGAAGTTCAGTGTAGAAACACAATTGCAGAAAAAGCCAATGATTATCTTCACCAACACAATTGTTAATCCTGAAGAGAAAAAAATAAAAAGAAATTAAACTTTAATAAGATGTTAATTTCAGAATTGGTAAAAATAAACACAAAAGAACTTCCTATATGGGTAACTTCACGGAGACAGACTAACATCACTCAAACCTAAAAGCAAACAGTACATCGGAAAAGATATAACTTCTGTAAAGCACTTTGTACTTTACAAAGGAAGTCCATATATAATATGATCCTTCTTTAACTCAGAACCACCCCGTGAGGCAGGAAGGCAGATGCGAGAACAGGAACAAAGGAGTTCAACTTGCCAGAGCTGTACAGTTAGAGCTTAAGACACTTGCCAAAGCAAGTGCAGTTTCAATGAAGAAAACAAGAACCTTCTCAGTGCTCTTCTATGAAGCATTCTAGCTTCGAGAGCAATTTGAATGATGTGAAGTAAAATAACTTAATCCTGCCACTGACATAACTGCAAAGCATTCACTATTCTTCTTACTTTTAAAAGCTATCCTTGGTTGCTAAAAATAGACATATATCCAAAACTACTTACAGATTCTTAGAGCTACTGTTCTAGGAACACAATAGTGAACCATAACTAGGAAAGACGATTAATGTCATAATCCCAAGAATTTCAAAGCTAATGCAAGCTAAATGTTTTATTGTTTCAAAATTTACTGTACCCAAATTTTCAAAATATTTTACAATTCCAGGAGAAAACCCTAGTTCAGAACTATAAGTTACCCTGTACAAATGTTTTTATTTCAATATATTATACTCGCACTGTTTTGTGGTGTGGTTTTTTAGAAGAATGTTTTTTAGTTTTTGTTGTTGTTGTTTTGGTATATATTTTTATTGATTTTGGAGAGAGGAAGGGAGAAGGAAAGAAAGATAGAAACATCAATGATGAGAATCACTGATCGGCTGCCTCCTGCATACCCCCTACTGGGACTGAGCCTGCAACCCAGGCACGTGCCTTTGACAGGAATTGAACCCGGGACCCTTCAGTCCTCAGGCCAAAGCTCTATCCACTGAGCCAAACCAGCCAGGGCACTGGCACTGTCTTTAAAAAACTATATAATAGGTTCAATTCCTAACTAAAATTGTTGTTTTAAAAGTGTGTTGTTAAAGTATTTTTTAAAATCAGATATAGAACTGAACAGAAAACCTTGCAGAGGCTTCCTTAGACTTAAGAGCTCATTCTTTGTTAATAAGAAAATGTCTTGTGTTTTATTACAAGCAGGGCTATTAAAAAGTGTTTATATACGCACTCTTCAACAGAGACTGCTTGAAAGATGACGTTTCCTTGTCCTATCCTTCCTGTCCCCCTAAATTTGAGAACAACTGCTATGATACTGGCATTTTTCTTAACCAGAGAGCTTTAAGAAGCACTAAGGTTCTTAGTTTATAGGTATAAGAGTTCTCTTGGTAACAATTATACTACATAGAAAAAGTGATCAGATCCAGATCAGAAAAAATCTTATGGTGACTTGAGAATTGACCTCCAAATCTAAAGCTTTAGGCAGTTAGAACAATGCCGTTTCTGAAAATAACAAAAATTCCCTATTCTTCCAATTTATACTGTTAGTTTCCCACACTCTGAGTATCTCAACAACATTCTATTAGGAAATTAAATCATGAAAATCCCCAAATCTATTCAGGCCCCTGGTCTACCCTCCTTTTCTATCTTCCAACTCTTTCTTCTTCCACTCTTCTTCCCAATATTCTGAGAAGTTGACTAAATTGGAAGCAAGAGGCCTAGAAACAGAGAACTCACCACAATCTTTTGAGTTTAGGCTAAACAGCACTTTATTTTGTCACTGAGTTCATCTTTATTCTTTAAAAATAAATAACAAATATCACTAATCTCTATAGTACCAAAGTATTTCCTTATTCACTGTTTATGTTTTTAAGTTTAAACTATATTGCATTCTTTTAAAAGGAAGTATCAATATCCAACTGTATATGAACATTTATTATATTTTCAGTTAATCAGAAACGTTGCTCTAAAAAGTGTATAAAATTGAGTTTTTCAGTGTGATTACCACTTACCAGTTTACCTAGCTTTTATTAATCTAGTATTATTATAATTATAAAGAGATCACTGAATTATAAAAAACACTTGAGGATTAACCTGTATAAATTCTAGGCACATTTTTAAAGACCAACTATGTGTTACAAACTATACTATCTTATTGATGAAATATATATAGTAACAAAGTGCTTTTATCTAAAAGTGCTTTTTATCTACTTAAATAATCAGTTTATAGTAAAACCCAAATTTCCACTAAACCTTGCTAATAACTTGTGCTATGAAAATAAGTTGTCAACAAATAAGGGAAATGCTAAATTGATTAGCATTACTAGACAAAGCTAAACTCTTCCTTCGAGTCAACTTTAGATATAAGCAGTTATAAATTTAACAAGCCTGCTATATAGTTAACTTCGTGTATACGCATGCATGTATGTACAAACATAAACACAGATGTAGAGATATGTTTATAGAGTGCTACACTACACCAGTTTAAATATTTATACAGCTATCCCACCCTAGAAAAACATTTAAATACAATACCTTGTTCACAGATTTTTGTGACAGCTTTGAAATGAGATACAATGCAGAATTCTCACAGCATTTGTTTTAAAAATTCTATTTTTCAAGTAAACATTTTCTTAAAATATTACAAGAGAGCCCCCTATTGACCAAAAATGTTGGCTGTTCAGCAGAATTAGCTGATTTCCACTTACACACATCCAGCATGTATGTAATGTTAATACCTAAAACACATAATACTGAAAAAGGCTTAAAGGGAGAGGAATGAGGGTCAGGGTACCTGAAATGTATTATTCTTTAAACAAATGGAAAGGGAAATATAAACAATGGGCTGTATACGGTTTATTAGAGTTAAAAACAATAAGGGCTACTATTTAAGTACTTTCTAAGTCTCAGACTCTGTACAAAATGTTTTACATACGTGCCTCATTTACTATAACCACCTTAGTCCTTTGTATATTTGGCTGCATGTTAATTCTTAGCTTTCTACAGGAATATTTCCTTGTTAGAAAAGATAGGATCTCTGTGGAAAAAATGATTTTGGGAGTTCACAGAACCGTATCAAAAATGAATGCTTATTAAAAGGTGTTTTTAAACTACATCACCTTCATGTAACTTTTGTTTAAATCTGCTAAGTACTACAATTTAGTTTTGCTATTTTTTTCTAAAAGTGAATTATTTATTGCTTACCATGGACAGTGATGATCCATTCTCCTAACACAGTGGCCGCAGCGGCTGCAGTGGTGGGAACGCTTTGGTCTCATCAAATTACACTTGTTACATAATTCCCAGAACTCCCTTTCTAGAGAAAGAAATTAAAATCTATTTAATGAAGGTAAATGAGTAATGTTGAAATTTAGCAACAATTGTTTAGAGATTTTATAGAAAGTCTTCAATATATATGTCTAAGAAATTTTTCCTCTAGTCTCCAATATTTCAAATAAATGCTGTTACTCTATTTTATGATGTGTGATTTTGTATGTTTCTAACTGTAAATACTATAAAAAAATAAGACACTATTATTAGTCAAACTAAGGGATAGAAAACAATGCATTTGGGTTTGGGACATATTGCTACAAGTAAAATTCAATGATAAAACTCTAACAGAATTTTATTTAAACAAATTTCTAGAAATTTTGTTATCTAAAGGCGCTAAAAAAGGAATAATGGTGAGTTCTGGTTTCATGGATTAATCAAAATCAATCCTGTAATATCGTTAGAGAAACAGAGATTACATTCCCAGCCCTCAAACCATTGTATTTTCTCATATTAACAAGTTCAGTGGGGAAAGTTTATGGGGGGGATTTGGAAAAGATTTTCAGATGGGTTTAGGAGGTTATTAGAATAGTTTCAACCTACTTATCTGTAACTCATGTCTTATTCTACTCCCTTTCCTTCTTCAGGTGTATGCACGTGCAAAGGGGACCTAGTGACCGATATAGTCTGATGTCTGATAACTACCTACAATATTTTGTACCAGCCATCTCCAAATGTAAAATCAAAGCCGATGGGAGAGAAAATCCAACTGCTATTTTATGGTAACTATAAATAAATTAAAAACTCACAAATATATTTTTAAGAAGAAAAATCAAAACCTAAAACTAATCGGAGAGAAAAAGACAAATTCCACAAATGACTGAGATTTTAATATAAGTAAACAGCATCATTTTTTTCATTTGTAAGAGAACATTTATTTGTAAATCATAGAGGTAGAAAGGTAATTCCTAAAAGAAATGGACTTAGGAAACAAGTTGCCTGGAAGGGCCCTGGGAGCTTGGAAGTGAGGAAGCTAATGGTAATGGGCCCGGGACAGGGAGGGGGAAGAGGGAAGAGAAAGGGCAAGGCAAGGGCGTGCTCCCAAGGAAGAGCACACAGGGTCCTCCTCTAAGGGCTTTAAGGGTGTCCAGAGGTTAGAGCACCAGCCACACACCGAAGGGTCATGGGTTCGATTTCTGGTCAAGGGCACGTACCTGGATTGCAGGTTTGATCCCTGGACCCAGTTGGGTGCATGAAGGAGGCAACCAATCAATGTATTTCTCTCACATCAATGTTTCTCTCTCTCTCTTCCCCACCTCTTCTACTCTACCTAAATATCAATAGAAAAAATATCCTCAAGCGAGGATTAACAAAAATAACAATAAAATAAAACAATATAAGAGGGAGGAAAAAGGCAAAACTATGAGTGAATACATGACCCTCAGCATTAACAGCATGGGTTAAATTTCAAGGGACAATATTAGACAAATTTAAAACATATTTTTTAAAACTTAGAAGGAAGATTTTGTTCTCTAACCATATGTCAAAAAGTAGCTCTAGTGATGACAAAAACAGTAAAGTCAAAATTACTAGTTAAGAAACAGCTTGATGATGAAATGTTCTAAGACTGACTGTGGTGACAGTTGCATAACTCTGTGAATATACTAAAAGCCACTAAAGTGTATAATTTAAATGGATAAATTATATTGCATATGAATTATACTCAATAAAGCTATTTTAAAAAGTTAAGAGATTGAATAAAATCATTTCATGAAATTTGAAAGTGACAAAAGTAATATTTCTGTATTTCAGACATGTGTGAATAATCTGAATAATATAAATAGCATTTAATTATTTCACTTGACTATTTTATCTGCATGCTGAAAAGCTTGCAAAATCAAATTCTGGGGCCCAGACAGCCTGGCTCAGTGGTTGAGCACTGACCTTTCAACCAGGAGGTCATGATTTTTTTTCATCCATATTTAAAGCCATAGTAAAAGCTGGTGAAACAAGGATCTGTGCCTCAAATCTTTCTGTAATATTCCGACATGTGACCTATAAAGCATAATCTATGCTTCTGGTCACGCAGGCTACCTACCTCATACAATTACCCTGAGGATTATATGACATGAGATAGATATTAAAATATGATAAATGAACATATCTTTTTTATTGGACAGAAATCTTCTGAACTTAGTGAAGAAAAATAGGCCAAATGTCAATGGGACCAGATATAATGCAGATATCCAAATAGTCAGTAAGATGGTGTCCTCCGTTGCTACAGTCTATAAGCTAAAGGTAACAAAGTGGTTTCATGATTCAATTAGGCCCACAGATATTAATCTGCTTGGTATTCATTTTAAAACAATTTTTTAAAATTTTTAACTAGTTGCCAATTTTTTTTAATCATGTAATTTTTCATAAAAATGTTATTATTAAGTAAAAATACTAATTTCTCAAATAATTATATACCACTCAAAAAATATTTACCCAGTATTTACTAAGTGACAGAGACTGTTCCAGGCACTGAGGATACAGCACTGAACAAATGAAGAAAACGAAACAACAAATCTTCACCCTCAGCGAGGTCATACAGATTGAGGGTGGGAGGAGAGAGAAACCAATACACAAACTGAAAGAGAGAGCCACGGAGGGGGGTATGAGGAGTCAACTGGGATTTGCAATTTTAAATAGAGAACTCTAGAAAGGAAACATCCGAGAAAAAACTTGAAAGCTGTAATAGATGTCATGTATAACTAATGCATACTGAAGGCAATAAATACATTGATAAAAAGAGTAATTCTGGAAAAGTAAACTGATAAATTTGAAGAGTACCATACCTCCATGTGGGATCTTAGGGTTTTCAGGGAGTCTTCCTGGATCAGTTATTGAGGCCCTTACTAAGGCAACCAGACAAAATATGGAAATGCCATAGAATACTAGAAGATAAGGGAAAAGAAAAGGAAAAGGGTAGGAGAAGGGTAAAGGGAAAGGGAAGGGAAAGAAAGAAAATTAGTCACTTACTCTTAGACACATTTTTAACAAGTATATTTAAAGTATAACTGCATATTTTAATTAACAGCATCCAGATAAATAATTTTCAAAAGATGGAAAAATTGAACAATTAATTCACTTGATTCATCAAATAATACTGCCAAGAGGACTATCTTAAGTATACCACTTTTAAATGTTACTTTGCATAATAACTAATAAACTTGTTGTAAATCATATTCTTTATTAGTAGAAATTCCCACTAAGCAATGGCATAAATGAATGGGTTCCCTATTAAGTACATGTACTATATATGGAAAAATTAAAGCAGCATTTTCAAGCCTATCCTACAATTAAACTTTTTCATTAATTCTTAACTGGCTATCTTCAAAATTACTTTGAATTAGTGATGTTCAAATGTTGCAGAGCAGCATCGAACAGACTGTCAAACTACAGCGGGAAGGCTGGGGAGGGTTGAGGGGTGGGGGGGTAAGAGATCAACCAAAGGACTTGTAGCATGCATATGAGCATAACCAATGGAAATACACCTATATTACAGAACATATTAATAAAATTTGTACATACACATAATTATGTATATACATATAATTATATATAATCAACCAAAGGACTTGTATGCATGCATATAAGCATAACCAAAGGACATACAACACTGGTGGGTAGGGGAGGCCAGGGGAATGTCAAGGGAGGGGGGCGGGAGGAGACATATGTAATACTCTTTATAATACTTTAAGCAATAAAACAAAATTTTTTAAAAAAATTGTTCCTTTCAATAGATTTAAGATATTTCATTTGAAATTAAAGAATCTAGAAACTTTTTTAAAATCAAAAACTAGATAAAGTAACAGTAAGAGAAAAAAGATTCATTCATCATAATTCAACCTTTTAAATGAATGAACGAATAGGCATTTTTTGAGGGTTGGAGGGAGGAGAGGGCACTGCACCTGTAATAGGAAATTTAGTTCAAGTGTTAACTCCAGGGCTGATGGCATGGCACTGGTCAATTTTACCATTTATATATCAGAAACCATATTTCTCACAGCTCTTGTGAGGTCAAATGACATATTGTATATGGAAACTGTAAATGCCATGTACATGTGAAATATGTCATTTCAAATTTAATCATAAGCAAGCCATCACCAATGAACTATAGCAGAAAGTAATTATGTAGAAGTTCAAAATGTCATAATGAACATTTGCATCACAAAAATCTTACTTCTCATTAATGTATACCATCTTCATACTTAAACTCTTTATACATTTGCAGTAAGTACATAACAGAAATATTAAAAATACACAAATTGACACAACTGTATCTTTTTTTTAAATAAAATGATCTTTATAGATTTTGTAGAGCTAGATATCTAACCCATTTATCTAACCCTGCAAAACAGTATATAAAGGACATTACTTTTTAAAATTTCCATAATTCAGTAAATAACTTGGTATTAATAGCACTAATATTAAGAGGAAGATTGATATAGCAGCACTATATTCCAAAAACATCCACAATGAAGAAAATCTTTAATTATATAAAGAAATAAAGACCTAGAAACTTACTTATTATTAATATGCCTGGAATATGTCCTTCTTCATAGTGAGGAAAGAGGACAATTTTGGGAATTATAACAATATTGTATAACCAGACAAAGACAATCAAACCCATGCAGCACCAACCATGTGGGTCAACAACAAAGTGAATCCGGAGACCCATTTTGCAGTCCTACAACTGCCTGCCAACCCACAGGAAAGACAATCCTACGGAGAGAGAAAGAAGAAAAAAGTTACTTGCTAGTATATAGAAAAAAGTGTTTGACTAAAACAAAATTACCTTACTGGCAACTATAACATAATACTTGTTGACTTTTCTTTGTATATTTTTGACAAAATAAAATACTTTAGAAAAGAAAAAAGTTTCAGGATATTCAAGTTTCACCATAAGCTTCAAATAATTTAATTTTGATTTTTTTATGAATTGCTATCATAGAATATAAATTGGCACTACCTTCTGAAGTTAAACACAAGTCTGTCCTTAACCCAGAAAATCCATGTGTGAACCCCCCAAAAATGAATAAACATATCCACCAAAAGATAGATAGATAGATATAATATATAATTTTTTAGTAGTTTTAATCATAAGACTAACTGACGGTCATCCAAGTCAAAATAGCAGTAATTTTGTGGTGGGAAGGGTGTTTAACTGGAAAGGAACATAAGGGAACCTTAGAGGGGTTAGAAATGTTCTACCTCTTGACCTGGGTAGGTTTCATGGGTACATACATATGTAAAATTTCACAGAGCTGGACACTTAGGATTTGTGCAATTTAGTTTCATTTTAAACCACAGTATAATGCTTATAAATCATTTTGAAAAATTATAATAAAAACTGAAAAGCAATTAAAAATTACCAAAATAATTAAATTTGTTGAATGAAGACCAATTAATCTTATTACTATCAAGGCTTTTTACAGGTGAGTGTTAATAAAATAATGAGCCTCTTAAAGTTAAGATACTTCTATACCTATGTTAAGAAAAAGAAAATAGCCGAAACCGGTTTGGCTCAGTGGATAGAGCGTCGGCCTGCGGACTGAAGGGTCCCAGGTTCAATTCTGGTCAAGGGCATGTACCTGGGTTGCGGGCACATCCCCAGTGGGGGGGTGTGCAGGAGGCAGCTGATCGATGTTTCTCTCTCATCGATGTTTCTGACTCTCTCTCCCTTGCTATCTCTAAAAAATCAATAAAATATATTTTAAAAAAAGAAAAAGAAAATGGCCCTAACTGGTTTGGCTCAGTGGATAGAGTATCGATCGGCCTGCAGAGTGAAAGGTCCCAGGTTCAATTCTGGTCAAGGGCATGTACCTTGGTTGCGGACACATCCCCAGTAGGAGGTGTGTAGGAGGCAACTGATCGATATTTCTCTCTCATCGAATTTTCTAACTCTCTCTCTCCCTTTCTTTCTGTAAAAAATCAATAAAATATATTTTTTTAAAAAGAAAATGACTTTAAAAATCCATTCTTTAGATGTAACTTACAAGCTTAAACAATACATTATAATATAAAATACAATGACATAATACATTAATACACTATGATGTTTTGCAAACCAGAATCAACTGAGATTTTTAAAAATACTATTCCCAGACCCCAATCCAAATCTATTGAATCATAATTCTTTACAAAGTAAAGCTCAAAAATCAACAAAATGTTAAAAATGTTCCCCAATTGTATATGACACAGCTGAGTGGTATCTATGAACCACTAATTCAGGAGCTTCACTAAGACTTTACTGTTATAGCAACGAGTTAAACTCAGTTCAACAAATATTCATTGAGCCTCCGCTATACAGCAGTTACCTGGTAGACACAGTAATGAATAAGACATGGCCTTTGCTTAAAGCAATTAACAGTCTAATGGGGAAGAGAGTCATAAAATGGTTTTAATATAATATGGTAAGTTCCAGAGATGTGGACAAATTGTTACTAGAGGCACAAAAGACGAGGACTAATTAAATCAGGGCAAGACTTCCTATAGAGGGTGAAACCTGAGTTCAGTACTAAAGATGAGTAAGTTATTCAAGTAAAGAAAAGTGACAATACTGTAAACAGAAGGAAGAGCAAGAGGTATACAAGGGTAAAAGTTGTAGGAGTTATTACAAATTGCCATCGTAAATCACAAATCTTTCAGTGGAAAGAGAGTCAGTGGTGAGAAGGGGCTATATCAAGAAGGACACAGAGATGCCATGTTAAAATATTAAGACTTCATTCCTGGAAGGTGTGACTCAGTTGGTTGAGCAGTGTCTCCTGCACCAAAAGGTCATCGGTTTGATTCCTGATCAGGGCACAAGGCCGGGTTTCGGGGATCCCCAGTAGAGGATGTGCAGGAGGCAGCTGATCTATGTTTCTCTCTCGTATAGATATCTCTGTCTATCTGTCTCTTTCTCTCCCACCCTCCCCTTCCTCTCTCTCTAAAGTCAATAAAAACACATTTACAAAAAAAAAGAATATTAAAACGTCATTCTTAGGCATTGGAAAGCTATTGAAGCAGGGATTTAACCTAATGAGATTTATACTTTAAAATAAATTATTGACACTCTGGTGAGGAAGATGAAAGATCAGTTGGAGAATAAATCAATTGAAGAAATAGTTAGAATTAAACCAGTAATTTTACTAATTGACTGGATATTAGGGATCACAGGGGGAAAAGTCAAGGATGACTCCCAGATTTCAGTTTATATCCCAGACTACTTAATCCTTAGAATAATTTATCATCAGTTACAACTTTTAGAGGCCTTGACAATGTTCTTTAAAGCTACCAGAACAAAGAGCCAAACCGGTTTCGGCAAGGCTTACTTAATTTTAAAAGAATACCCCTATGCTATCATTCCTATAGGAACTCAAAAGCACCACCACTCAACTGATGAAATCAGATATGGTCTAAATTAGTTCTTATATATGAAATCTAAAACATGAATAGCGCCTAGGTCTTTAAAAAAGTAGAAGTTGAACTTCAATATCTTTTAATTAGAAAATTAAAATACCTATCAGTATCATTTAAGCAAGAAAAGTCAGAGAGGATAAAACATGCTACTTAACTTACTAGGTATCATTTTAAAAACTAAAGATGCTCAAATAAAAATGATAAGCTATCTACCAAAGCTAAAAAGAGAAACACTAAAAAAAGTTTACATTTACAGTCTTGCCAACCATCGTGTGCTAAAGAAACGACAGAAGGCTCCGTCTCTCAACATACTCAATATTATTAACTTCATGTAACTTCTCTAAATGTTTCAGTTCCATTCAGGATTAAACAACAAATTATGAATTACAATAATTATACAGAGTAATTTAATAACTTATTTCCAGATTTATTAATATTAGAAACAGAAGAGCAAACAAGCCAGCAAAACGAGTGGCAAAATTATATAATACTCATTCATTTTTTAACTTTATTTTTATTCTCCTCTACCAGAGAACAAATTTTTTCAGTAGAAAAGAGAGATTCCTCACAACAGAAAATATTAGATAGTGAAAAGTATAGTTACAACGTATCTATTTTTCTGGATGTAAACGTATAGGTAACAAACTCTAAAAGAACAAGCATGCTCAAGGAAAAGTGAGCAAAAGATTAAAAAAAATAAAACAGTAAACAAATCATATGTTGAATATTTTTTAAATACCTGGTTAGTGAAAATTAGTGCCACATAACCCTTACAGCTGGACTGTAGAGAAGAAAACAGTAGTCTCCCAAGAGCTCCAAATCAGATTACAACCGGAAACACTTAACTGGTAGAGTTGCAGGATCGCTCCACTCAGTTAATGACAACTAGGCGTGGCTTATGACTGAACAGAAACTATTACACATCCTGAGCAACAACCAACTGAACGCAATGCTGCTACTCCGGTGCCATTTGTAAAATACTTTCATTAGCCAAAGATCCCAACATATTAATTTGTATATTAAATGATGAGCTTATAACTAAACTTTGATGTAACTAGTGGACATACTGGTACTTCAACATTTTTAAAGATTGCTATCTGGTAACTAAATATACTTGAGTGCTGTGTCTACATAATTAATGATGTAAATTACTACAGCACAAACTTTTTTTAGAGAAACTATAATTCAACTCTAATAAACTGGACTGCATAAATATTTACAATGTTCAAACTATTCCGGTAGGAAACCACCTTTCCTTTATTGCCTTTTCAGATTTTAGAAAATGATAAAAATTTGCCAACATAATTTACAAGAGATATGGTCAAACATATCTGTCTAAACTTACAGGTTTAGCCAACTCTCCACCTCAGCCAGTGAGTGGTCTTATTACTGTTCCATGAATATGGAGAATGTATTCCATCTCCCATTTCTCCTATCTGAAATGTTCTGACCATTTTGCTTACTCTAAATTCACCTCATACTTCAAGGTCAATTTGAAACTCACTCTCCATATAAAAATTTTCCTGGTACCTCAGTTCACAGTGACTTCTCTTTCTCTTCTATTCCAAATAAAAAGCAAAACTAGTAGATGAAAATAGCAAGTGGTTTTATAATCTTGGAATGAGGTAGGCCTTCACAAACAAGACCCATAATCCAAGTTTGACCACATAAAGGAAAAAGTTCTGAAGCCAAAGACACACCAAAAATGAAGTTAAAAGACAAAGCATCCCTGGAAAATGATAACATATGACTAATAAGAAGCATAAAAAATAAACACTTACCGAGGCAATTCACAGAAGAAAAAATGCAATGGCTAATCACCAGTGATTAGGAAAATGTGAAATAACTAGGCACATTTTTCATCTTTGGTATTGACATATTTTAGAAAGACAGATGACATCCAATGTTGACAGGACAGAGAGAAAAGGGCACACTGGTAGCATGTAAACTGATACAATCATTTGGAGGGCAGTCTGGCAGTAAATGTCAAACTCTTTAACCCAGCAGTTTTATTTCCAGTAATACCTAAAAAATACTCATTAGAGTTACCGGTCTGTTCTATACAGCACTTTTTTAATCACAATAGTATGGCACAAGCTAAATGTCCATGTAGATAGAGGGAGAGGAATGAGTAAATAAATTATAACATCCATAGTGTAAACTATTTCCAAGTCACTACAGATTTAAAAGGGGGAAAATGAGGTAGCTCTAGACCATATGGCTGCTCACATATAATGCTGAGTTACACAGGCAAAGTCTATGGGGCGGGGGTGTCTTAGTGGTTTCCTGGAGAGAGAGGAGAGAAAAGATAGACTAGGAAAGGGCATAAGGGAACTTCTGGGGCGCTGATACAGATCTCTATCTTGATATAACTTTTTGATACACAGGTCATGAACTGTCAAAACACAGCAAATACACACTTAGGAGTGTTGCATTTCATGGCATATACATTTACCTTTTAAAAACCCTGTAAAACAGCACTGAACTCTAGTTAATAATATGTATGCTGAAGGACTGGGGAGAGAGGGAAGGAAGGGAGGAAGTGTACTGATAGCTGCAATTTACTTTGAACAGGATCCAAAAAAATCAAAGTAGATTGCTAGATGGACAGAGGGATGGGTGAGAATGTGATGAAATTTAGTAAAATATTAGTTGTGAATGTAGGTGATGGGTATTCAGATGTTACACTATAATTCTTTCAACTCTCCTGTTAAAGTTTTTTTATAATTAAATGTTGAAGGAGAAAGCAAGTTATAGAAAATTGTGTACATGATTCTGTTAGAAGCAAAGTATGAGTAAATTCTGTCTATGGATCAGAAAAAAGTGTGAAAGAGAGCACACCTCCAAACTGTTAACAGTGGTTATCACTGGGCTGAGGAAGGACTGAGCAATGAGAAGGAAGGCTTTCACATTTTATGTATGTATTTTTGTGTTCTCCTAAGTTTATTAGTAAACATATGTACTTCTGAATTCTTTTCCACCAACTGAAAAATAAAGATAGCCTACGGGCTTGCAGACACTACAGCCTTACAAACAAAATGTTTAAATTAGGCTTCTCTTTATCACTATGTATTGCCCTTATCTTGAATGCTTTTATAATTAATATTTAAAAAAATGCAATGAAGAAGCATCAACTGTAAAGCCATATAAGATTTATAATCCTGAAAGATGCTTCTGAAACTTGTGTTACTTACAGATTATTTTTCTCTATGGAAAAGCCTAGACATTTTCTTATCCTCTAAGAAAATGTTTAGTTAAAATTTAATGTGAATAATTTTAAAGAAATATAAGGAAACTACTATTTTTTGCAAATGAGCAATTATTAAAATGTATCTAAATATAAGAATTAAGGATACAATGCCACATAATTCAGAAACATATTCCCATGTAAAATTAAATGCAGACTTACCACTTGCAAATTCACTGTGATGTGTTGTAATTTTTCTGGTACTTGCATTTAGAGGTTTTATCTTGATTCATTCTTTCTTTATTATATGCCAACAAATGGATCTCTCTTCAATAATAGTTCTCCATAATAATCTATTAATGATTTAACAAATAATTATCTCTCACAAAGATAAAAATTGTAAGCAGCTAAATAACCTGAGAAAATGTCAATTACAAAATTTTAAATTAAGAAATAAGATGATTCAAGTCCACCTGATCCTGTGCTTTCAGATCCCACGCCATCCCCCCAAAATGTACCTTTGATTACCATTGTACATGAAAGTTCTTTCTTTTGAAACCACTTAGTTCCCATAAAATCAAATCAGCATTATGTGTACAGCATTTGGGCTTCATCAAGCTTCCTGACCACAAATCACAAAATGATAATCGATTCTGAGATCACTGATGAGACAAAATGCAATGTAATGTCTACATTAATGTGAGGCTAGAACTATCTAATCACAATTGATAAGCATAAAATTAAGAGTTTAAAATAGAAGCAAGTTTTAGTTTAAAATGTTGTAAGGAAAAACGTTTTCCTCCTGTAATAAAACCATTAAGAGAAGCACTCATAAAAGTTAGTTTCTACAATTCAAGCTTAAATACTAATATTGTAAAGAGTTCTAGATAACACATACTGATTCAAGATTTCATTAATTTAATCTACTGACTATATCCTGTGCTTTGGCACTGGATATAAATATAAGAGAGAGGCCCTATCCTCAGTGGAGAAAGACAGTGAACAGGCAAGACCAATACCAGGTAAGATAAGATAAGACAGAGGGGCAGGGGGAAAGAGCATCTCATATAGGAAGGATGTTGTTTCGTGGCACTTTCTTCACTTAAGTGAACATTTACACGTGTACCAGGTTATAATACAAAATGTATTTCTCATGGTAAATTGCCATCAGGAAAAGGTTTCTGGAGAGACTGAAATCTGTGAATTAGCTAAATGAAGAATGGAGGCTCGTCTGAACTAGGGAACAAGTAAGCAAAGGTATAAAGGTAGGCAGAGAAAATCCAATTAAGCTGAAATGACAAGAGTCATTGCATATGGAAGAATGGGATAAAACATATCTATCCTTTTGACCACAATCAACTCCAAAAAATACATTTCATAATGTTACTAGTGCTCACAATTATATGATATATAAGTATATATTTGAAATACATATGAAATATATATCTGAAAAAGTTTAATGACATGATTACCCTTACTCTATGTGATGCACTATGATATTATTTCATGACTTACAAGCAGAGAACGATCCAAAAGCGAAAGACACTGCTAAACAATGCCAATGAGTTTGGATTGCACCCTGAACACACTGGAAACCACTGAAAGATTTTTAGAAGAATGCCATGATGAACTTGCATTTTGGAAAGAAGAGCAACACTTTGAAGTATGGACTTAAGTGGGTGGATAAGGCTCCAAGACTGACTAAATGAAATAAGACAGGCTTACCGGTTACCCACATAAAAAATGAGGGCACCAGGTAAACACCCCAAAAGTTGTAACTTATAAGAGAAGTGGGGAGGGGAGGGAAGAGGAAGGAAAAGTTAAGACAGCAGGCATGTTGGAAAAGGGCAATGAAGAACTTAATGAGGAAAACTTACAGGAGTTAGTGAACAATTGGAAGCAAAGAGCACATGCCAGGATGGTTCCCCAGTTTTTGGCTGAGGGATTAAGTGAATGGTGGTACCATTCTCTGAGACAGGAAATTAAGGACAAGTTGTGAATTTGTGAAGCATACTGCTTATCATAGCAATGAGAAACTATTACGTACTGAGAATATAAAAAATACATCAAAATCATTATCATTACATTTCCATTCCCCGTAGATACTTTTTAAAAAAGAACTATTTTCTCCCAGGGCCAATTTTTCTATGGTCCATGATTGCTAGATTGTCAAAGGTCATGTATTTCTACTCTAACTTTCTTGGCTGTACCTTTGTTTCTTAGAGACAAAATATGGAAGGAGAAAGTAAAGGAGCTGCTGCTCTAATGGAAAATGGATGAGTTCATCTTCTAGAAACAAATCTCAAGCAGAATTAAATGTGGTACATCAAAATGTCCTGAAACATGGCCAAGGTCAACAATGCTGCGAAGACTATGACTCCATGGTGGCTTCCCGATGTTTCAGCACAGCAGTTTCTGTCAGTAACATTAGGAAATAGCACAGGTCCACCATCCATGAGTCAAACCCCAGTCATTCACTGGCTTAAAGTCAAGAAAAAAATCCTACCTTATACTTGTAGTTGTTAGAGCTACACTGCAGCTAATATATCCAAAATGAGATGAACACTTCATCTAGTTCAACAACATCACCACCATTGTGGGATCAAATCTCCTCTCTGTGATATAAAAGCAATGTTAGTCTTAAAAATTAAAGAAATTTGGGGATAACAAAGAATATTCCAAACTCTCATAACTATACAATGTAATTAAATTTGTAACATTGCTAGGTCTAAAAGAATATAATCAACAAGTTATAGGGCATACCAGAAAGAAAAAAATTTACCCACAGGGACAAAAGAAAAAAATAGATATATATATATATAATAAAAACCTATAATTGCAGCTTAAAATAAAATTTAAAAACACAGGTACAACTATATAACTCTAAGCATAAATTTATTCAGCTGTTTAACTTCTGATTTTATCTACTCTGAAAATTGGTCAAGTTAAATAATTCTACTTAAAGGATCAAGTATAGCTATCCTTAATAATTAGCCAATGAGGTATTCATTTTTTTAAAAAAATCACATTGGTATTCAATTTATTTCAGTGGAACAGGAAATTAATTTTGTATAAATATTAAAGAGAGCCACATTCCAATTATGACGCAGCCTTTTATTAGCTCTCCAAGCTTCAGTTTCTTTTCAGAATTCAGTTAACCTTCTGTAAAATGTTGATAAAAATATTAACTCACGGGGTAATTGTCGTGATTCAATGAGAAACTGCAAATGATAAGCACCTCCAAAAATGAGGAAGGGAAACTTAAAGATGAGTTCTACTTCTAGTCTTACAAACTCCAGAATGAAAAATGATTCTGGTTCCCCATCATTAAAGTGGTGGTACCACTTAACCATACGGCAGCTACCTACTTCCTCTAACACTGAAGTCTGAGAACTACTGGTCAGGATGAAAATCCTCAGATGGTACAGCCTTTCGGCTGGTATCACACCATAAGCATGTAGGGAGGCTGCATTCCAACATGTTGGCATGAGGTCTCTTCAAGCAGAAAACCAAAAACAGAGATGCCATCTAAAACAGAGAGACTGAACTGAAGCCTGTGAACTAAATCTCTCTCAGTGAAAGCAGAAGGACAGGTGAGTTATAGAATGAAGCCTACCAGAAAATCAGGAGCCATTTTCGAAGATAATGAAGAATGCATAATTAACGAATTCTGACTCAATTGCTGAGTTCTCCAGGAAGACTTTGTGAAAATGTGAGCAGTGCTACTTCATGTCTACGAAGATGGGCTTTTAAAACTAGGGCTAACTCAATTTACCAATGATTCTTAACCAAAAAATTACTACTGTGATGATAAGAAAGACTGGTGTTTTTCCACTCTTGTGTTTCAACCAAATTTTTCACTGATTCAAAAGCAGTTTGAACATTTTCAACTTAAGAGTTATTAATGTACTGATTACTCTACTAAATGATAAAATGCCATTTATATTTAGTGCCTTTGAAAAGTTGAATCTGAGGCCTAAGAGTTTACTAAATAAAAAGTCTGCATTCTTTAGTATAAAAGTAAAACTGAGCTTAGGGAACAACTTTCTGGTAATAAAAATAGCTTTTCCTCTGCCTTGCCCGTTATGCCTGATTAATACTGACACCATCACCATGTGGCCTTCTAAGCTGAAAGAGATGTTATTGACTCACACTCAATTACAATGCCGGAATAAAAGCTCCATGGAGACATTACTGGACTTTTCAATTCACTTCTTCACTAATACATGGCATTATTTTATCTATACTCTTTTGAAAGTTCTGAATCAGGCCCCATCGATTAAAGAAATCAGGAAGTGGGCAAATAAGTAACACTTTTATGATTCACTGATTACTGCTTCTTTTAGAACCTACCCGTTAGGCTAATGGTTCTGTGCATGCATTTCAAAATGCTCAAATTTCTTTCATTAAATTAAACAATCCTGAGGTAGGCAATGTAACACAGTTATCACCATTTTATTCAAAGTATGGTCTATTTCATTTACTCTAACTACAGCTTCTAAAGTATGTTAAGCTTAACAGAAATCAACAACCGTTTGTAGGAGCCTCATATAATCCTGTTGCTCTATATCCAAAACTAGGAATTCTGAAAGAGCACTACACCAAACACTATTCCAAAAGTATGGAATTACACATTTTTACTTATATTTGGTATAATTTTATCAATATTTCGTCAATGAAATGTTTTAAATGTACCTTTAACATGTCAAAGGGTCTCAAATTACTTACAAACATACATATGCCAAGTAAGGATGAAGAAGCGAATAAGCCTTACAGAATTTAGCCTGACTTCTTGGTTGCAGAGAAGAGAAAACAACATGGGTCAGTGACCTACCCATGACAGCTTTGGGACTAAAATCTAGTTTCCCTTCCACAAACCAAATCTCACGTGGTTCTCTCTTTCTGGCTGATTCCTCACATCATCTCATCTTCAAACATCTTTTTGCCCTTAAGACATAACTAAGGCAAAATAAAGCAACTCTCTGGGTTTTATCTTTAAAATAAACAAAATCTGTAAAGTTGGAAGAATTTAACAAGATATTACATCAAACGCATTTTATTCCTGGGATGACACATACTACATGATTATTATTATTATTATTAATAATACTATTATTACCATCACAAGGAAGGTAGTGAATTTTTTTTTAAGCACACAGATTAGCATACGAAGCTGAGGACCCATTTGACACGTTTTTCATTTACCCTTAATGAGCCTGAGTCCTCTTTACTTCAGACTAACTTTGCACTATGATTTATGACCCGCCCACAATGACCTTGATTCCACCCCCCGCCACACCCGCCCCCTTCCTGGACTTTTATGGGCGACTATATTGCAATATTTTCAAGTAATAACCGGTCAGGTTCTCTCAGCCCTAGAGATACAGACATCCGCCCCTGAGTCACAGGGGGTCATAAACCGTGACCCAAATATAGCTTGAGAAAGACCACAACTTTAAATGGACTCTCCGGTTAAAACCCAGACCTATTAAAGTGAATGGTAACAAGTGCAAGCTGCCGCCATCCATCAGCCATTTCCTCCCAACCTCTCCAGGATCCCGGGGAGGGAGGCGGGTCAACGAAGGAGTGAACTCCTCCCGCTCCCGCCGATCCCTGCAGCCTGGCACCCGCGACCTGGAAATGAATGGGAGGCTATGGCAGCCCACACCTGAGACCGGCGATCCCGGGGACACAGGGCGAAACAAGTAGTTCATCGGCGAGAAACTCGGGGCAGAGACTCGACAAATTAAATTATAACAATAATAATAATAAATACCTACCCAACCCCCCTGGACTAGAGCAGGAACCCAC